GAATTGAAATAACAATTCTAAAATTCATATTGGATGCTATACTTGCATCTCGTATATGAGAAATCCCAAATACCCCCCTAATTGAAATTAAATTTATATTGCAAAAAAAAGCCTTTTTTTAAATTTGCAAATACATTGTTGTTATTTGTTTTGTAAAATATTGCGATTGTTGCGCTCTCTCTTCTTTGATTGTCACCGCGCGGCAATCGACTGTTATTTAGTATCAGTTNGCGCGCGAAGACGATGACGTCGCTCGCTTTGCAGTTGACATTTCTCACGCTGCTCGTAGCGTCGACGACGAGGTCGATGATAACTATGACNGCGAAAACNATGTCGATGNAAGAGAAAAAAGTATCNCGTTCCTGCGCAAGTACGGTTACCTGGAAAACTATGTAGATAATTCGTTGATTTCCGAGAACGCATTGAGTCACGNTGTCTCGCTTTTTCAAGAATTCTACAATCTACCCATAGATGGTGAATGAAACGCGAAAACAATGCGCGCAATGAGCAAACTGCGATGCGAAGTTTGAGATATCNAGATGCGTTACTCGAACAAGAAGCACATGCACAAGTGGCCTACGAATCATTTCACGTGGAATTTTCAGTTCGCCTGTAGAGCAAATCTACAAATAGCGGAAGCAGCGTTTGCTCTGAGGGCAGTGAATTTTTCGCTGACTTTTACACGCAGCATGCACAATCCTAACATAGTGATTTCGTATAAAGATGGACGGCACACTATGTTGGACAATTATTACTCAGGTACTATGTGCTCGTTGGACTTTGATGGTCAAGATGGAGTACTTGCTCACGTGTATTTTTCTAACGGAGATCTCGAGCATGTATCTGAGGTACATATCGACAATGCGGAACAGTGGCACGAGCTCACTGAAAATCCATGGAATAAGGATCATTTGTTGCACACGCTGACTCATGAGATCGACCATGCAATAAGAATAGAGCACAGTCTGCACAACGATTCGGTAATGTACGCGTTCGTGCCTAGTAAACAGTGATTTGTTACGCTCAGCTTGGATGATGTTCTGGCTGTGCAACCTTTATGGACCTAACCCGGATGCACCTGAACTACCTCCGATCTCTACATTTGCCCCTCCGACGATCGCGCCGACTACAACAACAACGATCGCGCCGACTACGACGACAACAACGACGTCGCAGCCGCCGTCGCCGCCGCGTAAACCCAAGCCGCTACCACCTAGGAACGCGTGCGAAGTACGCAATCCTGNTACGCAATACTTTTGACGAACACTATTACGTTCATTACGCAAGATAAATACGTGTATATGTTACGATCAGTATGATAAATCCGGTTAATATTACTAATTACCGGTAAATATTAATAATTGCCTAAGTATTGGGTTTATGTGAATAATGACTCTGTAATCGTAACATTTACCAGGAAGTATTAATACTAACCGGAAATTATTAATACTTCCTAGTGTAGTCTGGTTATTGTAATAAAAAATAATAAAAATGAACTTCTATCTAAACAGAATGATTATATTATTTGCATGTATGTACATTAAAATCAACAATTACATATAAGTTCCATAACAGTTACATAAAATAGTAAACACAAGAGTCAAATTAATTAAATACAAAACTTAACAAAAATTACAAAAAACATTTCTTTGTTATTAATTATTAAAGTGAAAGTAAATCTGCTACAAANATTTAAACTAAAAATAAAAATTAAATTTAAATCATAAAGTTATTTATTATTTATTTTTACAAAAAAGGCTTTTGTGGCACTTGGAATTGCAAAGAACGCTTGATTTTTTACATTTGCAGTAATTTGAATTACATTTGCCTGTACAATTACAATGTCGAAAGCCTTGACCGCCTAAATTTGAATTCTTACGAGGACATTCTCTCAGACTTATCTTAATATCGGGCACTTCGTTTATTGAAATAAAAGTTTCTTTACAGATGGTGAATTTGTTCCTCGTGTAAAATTGGTTTAAAATACCATATTTTGTTCCTAGTTTATAAAGACTTTTGTTCTCGACAAAAATTATAATAGCAATAATATTTCGACTATCAGCCTTAGCTCTATCCACTTCCGGAATCCTGATTCGAACACTTTGACCTACTCTTGCAACAGGAAATTTAGCATTAGAATGCTTTACCATTTTGTCAGCCTGCTTTTCGAGTGATTGTTTAGCAGAATTACGAGTCTCTTGAATTTTCTGTGTGATTTTGTTAAGTAAATATCCATTTTCATTATTATTATAACTATTTCTGAAACTTTATGTTGGTGGTTATTAGCGGCCTGACTATTATTATTATTATTATTGTCGATATTTAGAACTTCGATAGTCACGTTATGTGTAAGTAACTGCAAATTTTCATTTAAATTATCAACATTTATATTACTATCATGCTGTGTTTTAACATTGTTATCATTTCGCGAGTTCATAGTCTGATCACATTCAGCATTCTGAGATGCAGCGTCAGATTGATCTTCTAAAATTGCTTTCAGATCTTCTTCATTTGTGATTTCTGATAATACATTAGCTGGCAAAGATGTTTTTAAACCTATTTTAACTTTACAGCCAAACATAGCTTCATAAGGACAGCGATTTATTCCAGAGTGGTGAGCTCTATTTTTCATAAATTGAATAAATTTTATTCCGTCCGACCATTTTTTTTTTCTTTGTTTCTAGCCATGTGAATAACATTTTCTCTATGTCCTGATTCGCACGTTCAACTGAACCTTGTGACTGACTATGTCTCGGTTTACCGTAAACAATTTTAAGCTCATTCCACATTCCGCAGACTTCTTCAATAATTTTGTTAGTAAATTCTCTGCCATTGTCACTATGTAAAATGCATGGAGCACCAAATATTGTAAACAAATCTAACAAGTGATACGCAACTTCTTTGGCTTGTTTGGTTTTTAATGCTCTAAGCTGGACAAACTTTTTAAGATGATCTTGATAAACCATTATGAATCTGTAATCACCATCTGCTTGTGATTGCATGTCAATCAGATCGATTTGACATCTTGAATTAAATTCACTGCTTTTAATGGGCTTAACAACGAGTCCTTTTTTTGGAATATTCATCTTCTTTTGACAAGATTCACAAAGATTTAAATAACTCATGACTAATTCTACAGTGATGTTCTTATATTTGATGCGAAGTTCTTTCATCATTCTGTTTCGTCCTCCATGTCCGATAGAAATATGAGTCTCGTGAATTATATCAAAAATNTTTTCCAAAAATGTATACTAAATAATGGGATCTNTTTCAGTTTTTACTGGCACGATGAGTTTTCTATATTACCAATTTTAACAATATCATATCTAGACAAAAAATATGAGTCTCATAAATTATATAAAAAATCTTTTCCACAAACACACAATATAATAACAATATAATAAACAATGGGAGCTCTTTCATTTTTTAATGATACGAGTTTTCCTACATTACCAATTTTAACAATATCATGCATAGACAGCCGTTGATATTCTTCAGATGTTTTGTTTGAAGTCTTCTCTTTGTTTTTACTTTCATCAAAAATGAATTATATTCATTTCTTGTGAACAACTGATGATTTTTTTCTTTCTTAGATTTAAGCATGTTAACTTGCGTGTTAAATCGAGTCTTCATTATCTCTAAATCTNCCATTATGGTAAATTAATGTCTAAATACACGAAAAGTTTGCTCGCGCACAATCGTGCACGTCACGCTCAAGTGAAACAAAACAGCCTATCTCGAGTGCGTAAATATTTGGC